ATTTTTTAAGGTATTTCATATCAAATTCTCCTTTTAGATCACTTATGGTATTTGGAATCTCTTTAGGAGTTTTAATAATATTTAAATCATCAACATATATAGCAACTATCACAAATCATTTTTCGAATTTATTTGTAAAAATACATGGATAAATATGGTTATTTTTATAATCTTCTTTCAATAAATATTTATTGAAATAATTATACCACATGCACACAGAGTTAGTAATAAAGAGTAATATTAAAAAAATAAAAAAATAAAAATAAAAATTATAACATAAATTGAATTTCTAAACATTAAAATAATAAAACTAATACTAAAATAATTTTGATAGAGATATTAATAATTTAATTGAATTCATTTCTAAAGAGTATTTATTACATGTTTCAAGCATCTTAAGTCTTTCTAGGACTTTCATGTAGATATCATTTCAAATGAATAAATAAACCGTGATCACATTTATTAAATGCATGCATATGTTTTTTTTTCATATATTTTATTAGGCTAATGAGATAACAAAATATAATTGCGTTCATTATAGGAGAATATGTCTCATCATAGTCAATGTCAGCTTTTTGTGAAAACTCATGTTAAAAGTCTTACTTTGTATCTTGCAATCTTATCTTTTTTTTTCGTTCTTGCATAAATACATATTTGTATCCCACTAGCTTAACATCTTCAATCGTTTTAGCTATGAGTTCAAAAACTACTCATTTATAAGAAAATATAATTCTACCTAGATTGCTCTTTTCATTTGAGCTAATCATCTTTATGTTAACATTCTATAATAAATTTAGGCTTAGGATCTTTATTTTCATTCAAGACATCAATTGAAACATTATATGCAAAAATCTTATCAATAAATGTTTCTTTTCGATCCTATTTTCTCCTTACATTGACATAATGTATCAAAATCTCTTGATTTTTCTCAAGCATTTAGACGTCCACTTTCATGAAACCCCCGTCTTTTTCCTCATAAAGAGGAAAGAGCTTTCGAAGCCTATTATCAAATTTATCTTGGATCGTTTTGTGAATATTTGTATCTTTTATATTTTCATCTTGTCTTTTTTTTTTAGGAATTTTTATCTTTAGAACCGATTGGTCTTTCACACTTTTAGGCATGGTTTAGATTCATTTGTTATAACATTAATAAATTATCCTTCTAGACATCAATTCTAATAGAAGCATTCTTAGCGGGGACATGCATTTTAGTTACTCGTTTTAGGATTTAAGAATGCATTTAGTAGTTGATTAGTAATACCTTGTAAACGAATTATCTTCCGAACTTCTAGTTCATATAGTTTTGTACCAAGTTGATATAAAGATAGAGTACTCTTTTTTTAACATTTTTCAAGTGCTTATTTTGTTTATTCTCTCTCCCTAATGTTGAAAAAAATATTTCATCAAAATGACAATCGATAAATCGAGTTGTAGAAATATCTCCTATTTATGGTTCAAGATATTTAATTATCTAAAATAGTTCAAATCTAGCATATATTTTCAATCTCCTTTAAATACTCATTTCAGTTCATTATGGAGGAGCACTATGGATATATATTGTAATTTAAAAAAAAATTCTTAACCATAAACCAATTAAAGAAGGAAGAATTTTTGATAACTTATGAGTTTAATATGAATAAGTGTTGCTATATGTAAGATTGCATGTCCTCAAATATAATCGGGGAGTTTTGTTTTTATAAATACTGATTTAGCTATTGATTGAAACCTTTTGATAAATAATTATGCTAAACTTTTCCGAGTCTAAACATAAGCAATAAGTTGTTCAATCTTTATTCTAATAGCCAATCTATAATAGTTTAATGCCAATAAATTAATGCTTGAGAAATAAATTCACTAGTATTACCAAGGTGACTTGTTTTAATGGCATAATCTAAAAATTATGCTAAAAAACAAATTATTTGCTAGCAATCTCAAAAATGTCAAGTTTTGAGTATATAATAAGCGCATATATGACCATCTTGTGGATAGATTTATTAAAATCATAAAATATCTAAATGGTCCACATGATGGATAAATTAATCCACATATATGATCAGCTTGAATACATTATAAAAATACTAGAGCTTCAATTTTAATTTTATTTGATGATGGCTTAGTAATAAATTTACTTTGAAAACATGTAGAATATGAAAATTCATTAAATTGAAGAATCTTTCAGCTCTTCAATAGATGTTTATATGAATTTTTAATAATTTTTTGCATCATGAAAGACCTAAGATAACACAACTTATCATGTCACATAATAAAAGTATTTGAATTAGTAAACTTCGGTTTATTATAGTATTTGTTTCAATCATTTCAATATTTGCAATAAAAACTAGAAGAGAAAGCGAGTGAATTTTTCAATACATATTTTCTACATGGTATAATGATTATAATATATAAGTATTCACATTTGTTATCTTCACATAATATCAATTTAAATGAATATCTTTGAAACTCAACAAATTTCTATAATACTCCGAAGAGAATAGTACATCATTTATAATAAAATTTATCCTTTTAGATAATTACATATTTGCTTTTCCGGAGCCTTTAAATTATGTCACTTCAAGTAATAATATATCGACTCTTTTAGAGCCTTTAAAAGTTGTCTAGGTATTAATATATTCACTCTTCTAGAGCTTCAAAAATTTGTCTCTTCGAGTCATAATATAATCACTCTTCTGCAGCTTTTTGTTAAATTGATATTATTAGATATAATATTAACATAAAATAAATAAATAAATGCAAAGTAAATAAATAAATAAATTCTTTATAACCATAAATAAATAAATATATAGTAAAATAAATTTATCACTATCTCTATGCAATAAAAATTGTAAGAAAATGTAAAACATCTTATTTATAAATAGAAAAGTCGATAAGTTATTAATTTCAATTATCTCTATTTTGATATATAAAATTGACCTCTTTATGTTACATTTTTTTTTCAATAAGGTTTGACAAGACTTAATGAGATGCTTTAGTATATAGTAGGTACATGATCAATGCCCATTTATACTATATCTATAACATTCATTTTCGAATACTACCTTTATCTATTTTTATTTCTTTTTTTCATTGTTATCCACTTATGATGGTGAGATGTAATATTATGGTCATCACGATTATAATGATAATTATTTTGATCATGTCCATGACTAAGACCACATCTTCGTTCATGCCTAAAATTATTATAAATTGTCACGTTTACTTCGTAAAATATAGCGAGATCTAATTGGACGAGATTTATTCTTTTTCATCAATAACTTGTCATTTTATTTAGCCATGAGCAAACATGAAATCGATTCAGAATATTTCTTAAATTTATTTTTCTCGATATGCTATCGTAGGAACATGTTCGAGACATGAAAAGTAGAGAATATTTACTCAAGCATCAAACACTCATAATCAATAATTCTTGCCCAAAATGCTAAAGGCCACAAAATAAAGTTTTGTGAGATTTGATATCATAAAAATTCTATACTATAAAGTATAATAATAATATTAAGAAATAAAAACAAAATATAATGATAAAATTTAAATAAAAACCAATATAATAATAAAATTTAAACTTTATTAAAAATATAGATTAGATTATTAGATTTTATATATTAAATCCTTTAATTTTTTAAAATGTATATTTTATATATCATTAGATTTAAAATGCATGATAAATTGGATACATACCTTTTAATAATCTAAATAATTTAGATCTTTTGGTAGAGTACTTGTGTAGAAAAAAATATAATGATTGAAACAAATGATTAAATCTTTTGGTAGATACATACCTCACGGTCTATTATCTTGATTGGTTAGAGCTTCATGCTAATAACGTTTTATGAAAGAAATAGTAATAATAGTATAATTGAAGAGAAATATGATATAAAAATGAATTCACTATAAGATAAAGTGAATACAAGAGATAACAATTTCAAATAATTTCTCAATCTCTACAAAATATTTACGCCTAAACAAATAACCAATTAAGCTTATTTATAGGTTTCAAGATTAGGATGAAAATTTGAAAGAATTATGAATCATTAAAAAATATATAAATAATTATATAAATTGTATAATCATTTCAATTTCTCATATTGAATAGTGAATTGAATCGTATGAATAGTAAGAAATATGAAATGAACATTCATTATATTATAATAAAAATGACTATTTAATTAGTTTTGAAACTCAAATAACTATTTAATTGGCTTTGCAAATTTCAAGATATTAATTTTTAAATTACTTAAAGAAAAAAAGTGGGATCCTTTGTAAGTGCCATGTGTATGTACGTGTTCGGTAAAGTACATTTTGGTTGATCAATAGTTCAATACTCCCAAAGCTCTACTTCAGTCCTATTATTTTAAAAACTTGGCAATGTCAATCATGTAATGCAAAGCCATTCATTTTTTTTCTTTTTTCAACCTATATCGCCATTGTTTTTCAAATTTCACATGTGATACGATTCCATGAAGATCCGTCAGATCTCAAATTCAAAACATAAATCAATATATCATCATAAATTTTGTTTTCTTGTAAACAACTATGGTATTTACTAAATACAAAATGCCAAATTAATTTATTAATTTATTTTTATATTTTTATATAAAATAGAGAAGATATAAATTTGTTCAATTTTTTATTTATATATAGAAATACTTCATATAGTAATAATAAATTTTTATAAATCTATAGAAATAAGAAATAAAGAATAAAGAAAAGAGTCATTTTGTTGATTTGGTTGATAATTTAGAAGTAAACACACATCTATCATTCAAAACATAATATTCAAACTTTACGGAAACTAGAAAAAAATTTGGAATTTTTTAAAAGAGAAGGACTACAGTGAAATATTTAAAACACTTTAGAAACAAAAATGTAGTTTTATCCTACGTTTCTCTTCCTTCTTTATTTTACTTTATAAGACTTTCGAATCCCGACCTTCATTCAAAACCAAAGGAAACCCTATTAGGTCTTGGTTTCTGCTTCTTGTCAGAATGGTAAAAAATTTCTCTTCTCTCTTTTTATGCGTGTGTATTGTTGAAAATTTAAAAATCTAATTAATTTGTGTGTTGTGATTACCTTACAGGCTGATTCTCCAGTCAAAAGGTAACTTCTTAAACTTGGTTTTATTGTATGTTAAGGTTTCTGATTTTTCATATGATGTTGTTTTATGTTTTTGTTTTAAAGATTCTATCTTTGCATTAACTTCTGATTTTTTCAACATATGGGTTTTGTGTTTTGAGACGTTCAAGAATGATTAATGTTGAAAATCATAGGTTTAATTTTTATTAAATAATTACTGGGGTTGCTATTTTTGTCTGAATGATTCTATCTTTGCATTGGCTGTTGATGTTTTGAAGATATGGTTTTTGTGTTTTAAGGTGCTTAAATTGATTAATGTAATAAATCTCAGTTTTGTTTAATAATAATAATTATTGGGGTAGCTGATATGTGTTTGTTTTGGTTTCTACTAAGAGGGATTTTGAAAATATTGAAGGTTCTGATCGAGGGGATCAGAATTACAAACGATGGCTTTAGGTTGTTATGTAAAGTTTGAATTATTGAGGTTAATAGGATGTGTTAAGAGTAACCATGGCTTTGTTTTGGTATCAAATTAGCGCATATTAAGGAACTTGAAAAAATATTGGAGGCTTTGATTGATGGCATTACAATTACAAATTATGGCTCTAGGTTGTCAAAGTTTGGATTTTTGAGGTTAATAAGATTTGTTACTTTGTTGACCTTATGTTTATTTAGATATATATGGTTACTTGACTCTGTATTTTGTATTGTATTTTGAAATTATTTGATTGGGTATGTCAGGGATTCGCGCTCTCCTTCGCCTTGGAGGGAGCGGTCTAGGTCTAGGTCAAGGTCATGGTCTGGGCCGAGGTCTAGGTCTAGATCGAGGTCGAGATCATTGCCAAGGCCAAGGCATAGGTCACGGTCACGAAGTCGTGGAAGGTATTGTCACCCTGGACTTTTGTTTATTGTGTGTTGGTTTGTAATTATGGCACCTCTGTCCATCTTATGTGTCCAATGCTGTGTTTTTATGGCCGTTTTTTTTTCACATGGATGGTTGGTGGTTTCTGCACAGATCAAGGTCTAGAGATCATGGCAGGTTAGTTGCAGGTTTAAGTTTGGCAGCTTGTTAAAATTACAGACATGTATTACGGTGTTTCTTCCAATGTGTCTTGTGGACTTGAATTGACTTCATTTTTGTTATTTAGATGGTTTATATGTCAGTCTTTACTTGATGGAATTTTATGGCAGGGCTGAAGCTGTTAATCCTGGGAATACGCTTTATGTGACTGGGCTGTCTACAAGGGTTACAGAAAGGGATCTTGAAGAGCATTTCTCTAAGGAGGGAAAGGTTGGCCCTTTTTACTGTACTTAATGAGAATGCAGTTCTGCAATGCATTATTTATTTTTTAGTAAACATTGTTGTCATCTGTTTTTATATCAGTAATCATTGGATAATTTATATTTTCTAGGTAGCTTCCTGTTTTCTTGTTGTGGAGCCCCGGACACGCATATCTCGTGGGTTTGCTTTTGTTACAATGGACAATGTTGAGGATGCCAACCGTTGCGTTAAATATCTCAACCAGTCAGTTCTGGAGGGGCGATATATTACTGTGGAAAAGGTAATGTGATTATCTTGTTGGTGGTGCACACCAACCAGTTTTGATTGGATCTTTGTTCTTAACTTGGAGGTTTTCTGGTTATATTCAGAACCCATTGCGTCAGCTATGTTGGCAGCAATCAAAGATGATCAGTTCATCCATGTCAACTTAAGTGTAACAGCTTGAACAATGGCCAGCTTAAACAGCTTTACAAATGCTAGTGATCAACTAAACATAGCAACTTTATTGTTCAACAACTATACAACATCAGCATTCAATTTCAACTCTCAACTAATCAACGGACATTATCAAGCATTCAATTTCAACTCTCAACTAATCAACGGACATTACCAACTCCTTTCTAATCAGGCTTTATGGTATTTCATGCCCCACGATTATTTAATAAACACTAGTCACTCATGCCTGGTTATTGTCTTTGCTGTGCTTGGTAGCTAGCCTTTGCTGCCTTCATTGTGTAGTTGTTTCTTCTTGCAATATGTTTATGCTTGTCTCTTTGTGTATCTAGTTTTACAGGTAACATTTACTTATAAAGTTGCAGTTTGAGTAATTTTAAAGCTAGTTTGTTTTGTCCAAGTTGAACATTTTTCATGGTCATTTGCTGTATTGAGGTGATTTATTTAAATTTCAGTCACGGAGGAAACGGGCAAGAACTCCTACTCCGGGACACTATCTCGGGCTGAAGAACACTAGGGACTATGGTAAGTTTAACTTGTATATATGTAATTTTATCTTAGAAAGAAAGAACTTCTCTATCTACAATTTCAATGCATGTCCTGACTTGAATTTTACTATCTTATCTTGCTTTTGGAAAGGCCCTCATGGCGATCGTGGTAGGTATCGTGGTGGCTATGGTCGTGATGACTATCGCAGGTCTCCAAGGCGCTCTCCTTATCGTGGCAGTCGTGATTATTCTCCTAGGCGCTCCCCCTATGGTGGACGATCACGGAGGGACAGGTCCAGGTCACCTTATTCTCCTAGAGGCTCTAGGTGAGGCTGGCAGTTAAGTTATTTTTGTGGAGGGGGGAATCATGATGATGTAATGATATTTGCTTAGAACTAAAACAAATCATGTGTTTGTTGTGAGATCTGAATTCACTTGTTTACATCCTTCTAGAGTTTGTGTAGTTGTGTTTTGTTACTGAACTACCTTTCACTTTAACAACTGGGTAATCTTCCGCTACTGAACTCTTTGGTGAAACAGTTGCATCATATGAAATAGTAAGATGTTATGTGTGGAATTGTGTAATGTTTAGCAGCATCTGCGTAGTTGTGGACTTGTGCAATGTTTCAGCTTGTTCTGCATTGTTGTTATGGTTCTACATCTTTAGGTAACAGTACAGCCAGTATGGTTGGTTCTTTATTTCAGACTTCTCATAGTAGTTTAGGAACTTGGATGACAGTGTACAATTTTTGTGGCCTTACTTTGCAATGCTATGGGAAAGAACATTGTTTGGAGGATGGCTGTGTTGTGATTGTTGCCTGAAAAAATCTTTGCATATTCAAGCATATACCATCTTCTTGTTCTGAAGTATATTTGTCACCAAAAACACCGGTTAGGAGTTCAATTTTGATGTTAGTGGCTAACGTGTTTTTGGATTTCTCAAAAGTACTGGCGTGAACAAATGCTGCTCGCTTCCATCACGTCACTTTAAGCGACGTTCTGAAAGATCAGAAAAGTAAAACTTTGGAATACGGAACATTTAAGGTTGCTATCAAGAAGCGGAAAGAAGATTTGTGCACTGATTAAGAAGTTCCTTTGACTCTTTACCTTTTTTTTATTTTTTTATTTTGTGGATAAAGAAGAGAATTCCAATATGGAATGAATGGTAATGGAGGTAGCAACGAAGATGGTTTCCCTTGCGAAATGTTAAAAAAATGGCCCGCTCAAGTGCCCAACAACCTGAACCTGAATTTTACAACATAGCATCTTTTGGCCGATTAAAAATGGGTGATCCTAACCTAAATAGGTGCAGATTCTGTCATCCCGAATTTGTGTTAGTGATTTAATCGTTGAAAAGGTTTATCTAGTCGATTTGCCAATAACTGGGATCCGAAACTTGTCATTCCAAATTAGTTCTTCCAATAATATTAATCCCTGGTAACGTAAATCTAATGGTTCAATAACTAAGAGTGAATCTAACTACCTGGTGACACCAACTGCCAACTGCCAATGGTTGATCACATTTTAAAAACATACTTGTTGGCCCAATAACAATAATAGCTAACAAAACTTGTCATGCCAGTCTCAAATCAGCCAATTATTTTGGGCTATAAACCAAGCCCTTACAGGCTCCAAGGAGATATATAAGCCGAAATCTCCTCTGCTTCGGACCTCCAAAATCAGAGACGATGTCCCTCCCAACTCTGCTAAACCCACCACAAAACCCAAAACTCCACACCCCTCTGTCTCTCCCTCCACCTCTCAAGTTCTCATCTTTCAAAACTCTAAAAATCTCAACAAAACTCTACTCTTTCTCACCTTCCTTACAATCCCAATTCCCTATACAAAATAACAACTTTGAAGACCAAGACCATGCCATTGGTGACTGTATAGTCTTTGAAGAAGGCATTTTTGAAGATCCATATTTGGAAACCAACTCAAATGCCATCGAGGATTCAAAGATTAAGTCTTTTCGGAAAAAGAAAAAAGGGTTGTTGCTGTAGTTGAAGCAGAGAATTTGGTGCCGGAGAATTGGAGAGAAGTGCAAGCAGAGATTAATATTGGTAAAAAAGAAAGGAGAAAGATTGCTCAAGAAATGGAATATAATAAAAAATTTGAAAGGAAAAGGAAAGGGTTGGTTCCTATTAGGAGTGTGAATTTAGAGGAGTATCAGGCTTTTAGAGAAGCGAAATTGGCACAGTTGAAGCCACTTGTGCTTGATAATCCAGAGAGCTTTAAAGAGCCGTCGGAGGAGGAGGAGGAAGGTGAAGTGAAGGAGATTGTTAGTGAGAGAGTGAAAGGTAAGAATCCTAGATGGGCAGTTTATGGGAGAGGTTTAGATGATGTTAGAGAGTTTCTTAACAGTGAGGATTATGAGCCTGGTGAACAGAAATCTGAAGGTAATTGCTTTCCTATTCAAGTTTTGAACTTCAGTATTGTATTGTTTGTTGTTTTCTTGTTGATATTGTAGTTTGTTTCTTTATTGATAGAGTAATTAAATTTTGTTTTATTGATTAGATTGACGCAAAACTAGTTAATTTTAGTGGGAATTTGGTGTAAGCTGTGAAGAAAATGTGACCGTTTATTGATAGGAGATGCATTCCGGATTTGAGTGCTGATGTTACTTTGTTTTGTTCTATGTTTTGCATGCGAGCTTCAAGATCTTGCCATTCATATTGTTTTTTCTTCCTTATCTGTTTGAATAAATAGGTAAGCGCAAGTTGTTTACGAAAGAGGAAAAGGTTTTGTTAAATAAGCGGGTACCTGATCTGGCGGTTGCTACCTCTGTGAGTTCACTATGTGCTTGAACCAACCTAGTCCTCTTATTTGATTTTGATATATATATATATATATATATATATATTTATTTATTGATATAATTATTTGTTGCTGCTTTCTCAATTCTTGCTAGCTGATGTTCCAATCTGATTTCGGAACCAAATAAATAGTTTTTAACAGTTACAAAGGCAATATTTCCCCCTGCATTTTTTGGCCATGCACCTCTTTCTTCTTTGAAGAAGTTATGGCAGGCTGTACACGATGCAGTTATCTTTTTTGGATAAAATACATTGTACAAACCTGTAAATTGTTTATTGTCTTTTATTTTTGTTGAATTCCTTGCAGAGAAAATGGCTACCTCTCCACACACTTGCTGCATCAGGTGAATTCTACCTCATGGATGCATTGTTGAAGCATAATGTTGACATCAATGCTGTGGATGTGGTACGTGGAACGTCCATTTGCTGACTTATTGGATTCTGCCAGTCCCATCAAATTTGATACACTTCCCTCCCTATATTTTAAATTGGATGCAAAACTCCTTGGAATCGCTCAGTTTTTGAAATTTGGATCATTATGTTTTCTTCAGAATGGTTGGACTGCACTTCACAGAGCAATAATATGCAAAAAGCAAGCTATAACCAACTATCTGTTGAGAGAATCAGCAGATCCTTTCGTTCGTGATGCAGTGAGTATTGACTCAATGACTATAGCTTCATCTGAACTCTATTTGCTGTCAGTTGAATCTTTTATGCAGCCATTTTCTTTTGTGATTCATGCTGACTTTACCTGTTTCTCTTTTCTTGCTGATGACAGGAGGGTGCCACCTTGATGCATTATGCAGTTCAAACAGCATCTCCTCCAGCTATCAAACTTCTTCTGTTATATAACGTCGATATAAACCTTCCAGACAATGTGAGGATGATGTGTCTATATATATATATATATTTGTGTGTGTGTGTTTCTGTTTCAGTTTTGATGCTTCATTGGTAAACACTCTTGTTTATTACCCATTTAGGATGGATGGACACCGTTACATCTTGCTGTTCAAGCCCGAAGAACAGATATAGTGAAGCTTTTATTAATTAAAAGAGCAGATAGGACATTAAAAAACCAGGTAAATATCTGATGATTCTAGAGATCTCTCATACCATTGCATCGTATGTATACTCTTGAGATCTCTTATACCATTGCTGCTTGGATGTGTTTCTCGCTTTTCATACTATGGTTTGCATCATTGCGACGAGAGTAAAGCTTAGTTGAATACTGTGTAACAACTGGTAATGTAAGAGTAGATAGTGACAAAATTGGTTGCTGTTTGACACCTAGCACAAGAGCTTGATACGAATCAGCTGACCTCTAAATGAACACGATGCAATGTTCTAGCACAGAAGATTTCCTGAACTGGTCTCGTGTAATGTGTACTGTGTATAAAGTGCAGGATAGACGTGCATCCTTTTGCGTTTTCATAAATCACTTTTATGTACCTACGTCTTCAAGTTAATAATGCATTGGAACTATTTGTGTGTCTCAGGATGGCTTAACACCACTCGATCTCTGCCTCTATTCGGGCAGAGACACAAGGACTTATGAGCTTATCAAGCTGTTGAAGCAGTTTGCAAAGACGTCAACTTTGGCAAAGAAGCCTTATAATGCTGCAGCTTCCTAACTGATTTAATGCAGCCACTTTATATCTTTCCATTATCCAGATTCACTGGAAGCCCATTGCTCTGGCAGTGAGAATCTATAATTTCAAGCTCCCTTGGGTACACGATTATATGTAGTAGTAAGGAGAAATTGGATGAGTGCAAAATGAAATAAAAAGAACATGGCTTCTCCACCCTGCTTGGTTTTGCATGTGACTTTGTAATTAATGATGTGAAAACTTAGTATCATACATACTGATCATGTAATGTAATTTAAGGCTGTGCCTGTATTATATTATATTATTAGCGAACGATTTGCCTGTTCTAAAAATTTTATTTACCTTTCATTGGACGAATCTAAACTTGAATCGATAAAATTTGAAGCACGTACTGTCCTCCCACTGCCCAGAAGCGTACAATTGGCTTGGGATATTTCTCCGGTTGCAAATATTTTCGTCCCTAGGATACAAAACCCTCAGCTACATTGCCATCTAGACATTAGAAAAGATTTCTTGGACAAAAATGTATGTGCAAGATAGTTTCTGATCGATTGGTACCTAGCAGATGAATTATGTCCTTAAATTAATCAAATTCTTAATTCGAGAAAAGTTAAGCACATGTTCCTTCTCCTTGCTTCTCAATCTTAGCTATCGATTACCGAAGAAGAGAAACCCATCTTGTTGTCACTTCCTAATCAATCAATTAAAATAATATTAAAACCAATAATTTATAAAAATTAAATTAAAATTTTCTAACAAATATTTCATTCAAGTTAAGAATCAATGCTCCCCAAACATAATTACAATTTTTTTTTTTTAAGACAACTTAGATTATTTTACCAAAAACCATACTACATATGAAAATTATACAAAAAAATTTCTTGTCTGGACATTTCGTTTAGTTCGGATTCAAATCCGAAATGACAATTACGATGCGACGAACAAATCCGAAATGAGAACACGATGAACAAATCCAAAATCGAACTAATACATCCAAAGAAATTTGTCGAGTAGGAGATAGCAAAAGCCTAGTAAATTAATCCTAGTAGTATAAGACATGTTTATTATGCCTCGCTAAAAACGCGTCTACGAAGTCCAACTACTTTTCGCTCTCTCCCTTTCTAACCTTGTCTGTTATTTAGTTAAAACCTTGGCAGCTCTCTCTCTGTCACACACCCAAAAAAAGAGAACAAGAAAAATGCTAGGAGCCCAATTCCAACTTCGTACATCCAGTGGTTTCAACACTCTGAAAACAACAGATCAAAGACATCACCCGAATTGTCGTTTAATCTCACCGCAAAGAACTGGTCCTCCTGTTTCTTCCTCTTCCTCTTCTTCTTCTTCTTCTTCTTCTTCCTTTCGCTTCTCAATTAAGAGAATACGATGTCGCTTCCAATGTCCCAGATCAATAACAGTTTCTTGTAAGGCTTCTAGTGGTAGCAGTGGATCCACTAATGCTCATAATGATCATGATCTTGATTATCTCCCAGCTTCCCTTCTTGTTTCAGGTCCCTCCCTCTCTCTCATTATGTTTATGTTTAATTATGTTCTGCTTTGATTAATACTTGGTGTGTAGGTTTTGCTGTTGAATTTGTTTCAGAAATGGAAAAGAACACAACTTTATGAGGTTTTGATGCATTTGAACAAATGGGTTGTGTTATTTTATTCGATAAAGTTTAGAAAGGTGTGGATTTTGTTATTGAATTTGCTTCTGAAAATGCTTATGAGGTTTTGGTGCATTTTAGGAAACGGGTATTGGCTGTTTTGATTGGATAAGGTCTAGAAACAGGAAAAAGAAGATTAACTTTATGAGTCTGATTGCAGTGTGGAAGTTAAGTAACCTGAAATTCAAGCTCAAAAGAATCCAACTTTATGAAATTTTGGTGCTCTCTTATAAATTTGTTTTGGTTATTTAGATTGGATAAGGTCTAGAAAGGAAAAAGAGAAATGAAAGTTAATGAGTATTTATGGATATTCTTTTTACGTCCTGAACTTATTTTTAATTGTTTCAACGGGCTGCAGAGACAGTCTCTCACTATCGAATGCGGAAGCAAGGATTTCAAGAAGAGATTAGATGGCATCCATCTGGTAAATTAGTATCTCCTTTTGGTGTGCAAGCAAGAAAGGAAGCAAGGCCTGATATGGGTCTATTAGGACATGGTTTTCTTCGTCGATTTCAAAGTCCCACGATTTTCCTTAAAGTTTCTTGTGATGGTGACTTTGTGCTGCCGATTATTGTTGGTATATTTAAAAAAAAAAAAAATTTAGTTTCCTTGATTTGTTCTTGTCTTTGTTTTTTACTATAATATTCAAGTCTGGACAAATTTGCTTGTTGTTAAGTTTTGTTGTTTTCTGACACAGGGGAGTTTGCTATTGAGAAACTGATAGATGGAATGCAAGGAGATGAAAATGCAGTAATTTTTTATTTTTTATTTTTACCCATTTTCCTTACATATATTGTTGGTTCAGTAACTTTAGTTAACAGTCTTTGTGTATGCATGATTTTTCTGCAGGTTTGTGCTGATCAGTTCCAGCTAGTGGGAAACGTAGCAGAAGAGCTTGGATATGATGTATGGAACTATATGTTGGGTACTTGTTCATAGTTATGGTAAATTATGAAGTTCAGGAGGATTCAGCCTCACCAAGTTATCTTTTTGCGTTTTCGTTTCTTTTATTTCAGGTAAAAATGGTACGGATTACAGAAAGAGTGGCAAATACTTACTTGGCAAGATTATGTTTTAGCAAGGTGCTAAAGAACATTGTGAATTAAATGTCTTAGTTGTCCAAAAGCAACAGCAATAATAATGACATCATCGCTACTTATTATTTCTGTTAAACAAAACTTCAAATATCTGCAGCCAGGGGAAAATGATATTCTTAGTGTGGATGCACGGCCGTCGGATGCCATAAATGTGGCAAGCAGATGTAAGGTATTTGTTTCCAAACCTTAACTATACAAATGCTTTATTACTATCTGCAATCTCGAATGATCATTGTTTGTTTTCTGATGTTATTTTCACTGTTCTGACTACCTGGCTCTGATATTACTAAAAGATTTACATGCCATTGATTATGGTTGGACTTTGCTCTGTGCAGGCACCAATTTATATAAGTAAACAAATTGTTTTTACGGATGCTATTCGAATTGGTTATGGGGTCGGAAGAGGGCATGATACAAAGCCTACTTATGATGTGTCCCTTGATAGGTATTGACCATAGTTACTTATCTTAGGTCAGGTATTTGTCATGCTGACCTATTTACGCCCCATTATCAACGCCAGCTTTCTGGGTAGCTGATTCCAAGCATGATTTAAATCTTTTTTTTCCCAGTGCCGCTGATGGTCCAGACTCACTGGTTGAGGAACTTGATCTTGTAAGGAATATGAATTTAGCCGCTAAAGAGGAAAGGTACACTGATGCAGGTACTTTTGATAAAATCAGTAAATCACTCTGTTTGGACAATTCTATTTTGTTGATGAGTTGTAATATTTACACTCTCAACCACTCTATACAGTCACACAATGAAAGCTGTTGCATATTACAATCAGTTGATATTGATTACCGACTCTTGCAGCCATGTGGAGAGACAGACTAATGGAGCTTCGCAAGTCAAGAAAGGAACATTAGCCGACTTAAGGTATATCAAGTTTTAAAAGTGTTGCTTCTAGCTTGCATGTCTAACTTCTGTCTTTCTGCATGCATATATAACTCCAGCTTTAAAAGTTAAAAACCTTTTTTCAGGACTTTGTAAATTAAGGCTCCCAGTGTGTGGCTTGTGACTGGTCTGTTTGAGCTTGGTTCATATGTAGTTTCAGATGAAATTTGACCGGTGAATGCTTGTGTTAAGGGAAAAAAAAAAAAAAAAAATCCCGGGCATTCTTTACCAGAGCACTTCGATAGGCACATTCTCATCAGTTAACAGCTGGACTCGTGCATAGTCAGCAGCACAAAATCTTGGTGTGTACAGTTTAAACTTGCTTCCAGAAAAGATATGCCTAATATGCAAGTATGGATCAAGTCTCGCACTTAATTGTTCAAAGCTATTCATGATCAATTCTCTCTTCGGTGCTGAGTCAGAGATGTTATTGCTCTAGTGACAATTGTAATTCTTTGTAGATAATGTGTACGTAAAAAGATAAAAATGGTGTTCATCAAAGAAAAAGATCAATGTGTTAGGTCACTCTATAACTTTCTCATCTTCAAAGAAAATGGTCAGTGTGTTATAATATAGTTTTAAATAGCAATTGTGAGTGTGAAAACGATCACTATAACGAGTACGGATCATGGCTTATCGCGGTAGTAAAATAACGGTCACGGTCATCAATGTTGTTGTGAATACAATAATCACCGTAAATAAATTTATTCTAGCACATGTATTTTAACAATTTTGTTAATTTAAACATACTAATAACTAATGACATCTTTAATAGTTTAATATTATATAAAAATGGTTAAATTTATTTAAAAAATTAATAAAATTTCTAATAAATTAATATCATACAAAAATAATAAACTAATTATTTAATCTTTTAATTAGTGGTGATCATATTTAATGTAATACTATTTTATTTTACAAAATATTTTTTTCATCAATTTTTTCATGATATAAATTTGTTTTTTGTTTTTTATAAAATAAAAATAAAAAATAAATTAGAAAATAACATAAAATAGATAAAAAGGACTAAATAATTTGTTTTTGAAACAATATGAACTAATTAATTTATTTTTACAAACTAAAGGAACTAATCTATATTTTACTCATTTAAAGCTTGCATTCTAGCATGTCTTTGAATTTTGCGCAAACTTGATTGAATAATTGGGATCATAGTCCCTTTAGTTTTAATAACCGAATTAATTAGTCTTTTTTTGAAAATTAATTATTTAATTTTTTTGATGAGTGTTATCATATTTAATGTAATATTATTTTATTTCATAAATATTATAAAATAATGAATATCCATCATCATGTTCATCCACTTTTCATATCTCCACTACTCATGATTCTTAATATGATTCAATTAATCATTTAATATGAGAAATTGAAAGGGTGATGCAATTGATTATTCATAGTTCATTTCAATTCTCTCCTCAATTTTGAAGCCTATAAATAAGCTTCATTGTTCGTTAGTTGGTGTATAAGTTTCCTATAGAGAATAAGAGAAACTTTGAAGTTCTTATCACTTACATTCACATTATAGTGATTTTATTTTCTTATCATCATTTTCTTCAATTCTCCTATTATTTTTATTTATTTTATAATACGTTATTAGCACGACGCTCTAACCAACTAAGACAATAGACCATGAGGTATGTATCTATCGAAAGATTTAATCAATTGTTTCAACAATTGGATTTCTTCTATACAAGTGCTCTACCAAAAGATCTAAATTATTTAGATCATTAAGAGGTAGTATCTAATTTATTCATTTACTTTAAATCTATTGATACATGAAATATATATTTGAAAAACTTAAATGGTCTACTAATGATCTAATATATATTATTTGGAAAGCTTTAATTTTATTATTATATTTGTTCTTATTTTCTAATATTATTATTATATATTGTATTATATAATTTTTATCATATCAAACCTCATAAACTTGATTTGGTGACTCTTAATATTTTGAATAAGAATTATTGATTATGAGTGCTTGATTTTAAAAAAAATATTCTCTACTTTTTATGTATTGGATATGCTCATGCAGTAGTATATTGAGAAAAAGAGTTTAAGAAATATTTTGGATCGATTTTATACTTGTTAGTGGCTAAATAAAATGAAAAAGAATAAATCTTATCCAATTGGATCTACTCCATTCCCTAAAGTAAATGTGACAATTTATAATAATTTTAGACATGGATGAAGATGTGGTTATAGCAATGGATATGGTCGAAATAATTATCATTATAATCGTAATGATCATAATCTTACATCTCACCACTAGAAGTGGATAACTTTGAAAAAATAAAAATAAAAATAGATAAAGTTAGTATTCTGAAAAATAAATATTATAGAAGTGAAATGAATGAATATTGATCGTGTACTTATCGTATACCAAAGCACCTCATTGAGGCTCGTCAAGCTTTATTGAAAAATAAAGAGTAAAATATGAAGACCACTTTTATATATCAAAGTAATAGTAATTAAAAATTAATTACTTGTTAGTTTTTCTATTTTATAAATAAAATATTTTATATTTCTTATAATTTATGTCATATATTGATGGTTACAAATTTATTTTACTATTTATTTATTTGTGTTTATGAGGAATATATTGATTTATTTATTATTTATTTATTTATTTGATTATTTATTTTATGTTAATATTAGATATGATAATATCAATCTAATAGAAAGCTCTAGAAGAACGACTATATTATTATCTAAAGAGATAGATTTTGAAGGCTCTAGAAGAGCGATTATATCATGACTTGAAGAGATAAATTTTTGAAGCTCTAGAAGAGTGAATAAATTATTTCTTGAAGAGAAAATGTTTAAAGGCTCTAGAAGAGTCGATATATTATTACTTGAAGTGACTAATTTAAAGGCTCCGGAAGAGCAAATATGTTGTTATCCGAAAGGATAAATTTATTATGAATGATGTACTATTCTATTCAAAGTCTCATAGAAATTTGTTAAGTTTCAAAGATATTTATCCGAATTGATATCATATTAAGATAGCAAATGTGAATACTTATATGTTATAATCATTATACCGAGTGAGAAAATATCTATTAAAAATTTTTTTCATTTTCTCTTCTAGTCTTTATTACAAACATTGAAATGATTGAAACAAATATGATAACAAATCGAAGTTTACTAATTCAAATACTTTTACTATGTGACATGACCAGTTGTGTAATCTTGGGTCTTTCATGATGCAAAAAAATTATTAAAAAATTTATATGAATATCTATTGAAAAGCTAGAAGATTCTTCAATTTAATGAACTTTCATGTTCTCGCATGTTGTTAAGGCAGATTGATGATTAAGCCATCATCAAGTAAAATTGAGATTGAATCTTTAGTATTTTAGAATGTATTCAAGGTGATATATGTGGATCAATTCATCCACCATGTAGACCATTTAAATATTTTACGATTTGATATATGCATCCACAAGATGGTCACATATATGTTTATTATCTACTCGAAACCCGACGTTTTCGAGATTGCTAGCAAATAATTTGAGTTCGAGCATAATTTTCAAATTATGCCATTAAAACAAGTCACCTTGATAATGCCGATGAATTTATTTCTCAAGCATTAAATTATTATTGATTGGTTATTAAAATAAAGGTTGAACATCCTATTGCTCATGTTCATACTCAAAAAGTTTTAGCAAAATCATTTATCAAAAGGCTCCAATTGATAGCTAAACCATTATTTAAAAATAAAACTCCCCGTTTATGTTTGGGGACATACAATCTTACATGCAAGCAACACTTATTCGCATATGACCTATAAGTTATTAGAAATTCTCTTCTCTTTAGTTGATTTATGGTAATGAGTTAAATATTTCTTATTTAAGAATTTTTTGGCATTGCAGAGTGTGTATCCTTAGTGCAAAGGAAATAAAATGGGCACTTAAAGGAGATTGAAAATATATATTGGATTTGAATCCTTTTTGATAATTAAATATCTTGAATCATGAATAAGTGATATTTTTACATGTTGATTTATCAACTCGTCATTTTGATGAAATAGTTTTTCCAACATTAGGGGAGAGAATAAACAAAATAAGCAGTTGAAAATGTTGAAAAAAGAGATTACATGGAGTACTCTATCTTTATATCAATTTGGTACAAAACAATGTGAACTAGAAGTTCATAAGATAATTCGTTTACAAGGTATTATAAACTAACCGCTAGATGTATTCTCATATCCTAAAAGAGTAAATAAAATGCATATCCTCATTGAGAATGCTTCTATTAGAATTGATGTCCTAGAAGGACGATCTGTTAATATTATAGCTAACGAATTTAAAGCATGCTTGAAGCATGGAAGACCAATCGGTTCTAAATATAAAAATTCCTAAAGAAAAGGACAATATGAAAATATAAAGGATGCAAATATTCACAAAACGAGTCCAAGATATTTTTGATAATAAGCTTCTAGAAGAAGTCCAAATACTTGAGAAAAATCAAGAGATTTTGATAAATTATGTCAATATAGGGAGAAAATAGGACCGAAGAGAAATGTTTATTGATAAGATTTTTGTATGTAAAGTTACAATTGATATTTTGAATGAAAATAAGGATCCCGAGCCTAAATTATTGAAGAATGTTGACATAAAGATGATTGGCCTAAATAAAAAGAGTAATCTAAGCGTAAGTATGTTCTCCTACAAAAGATTAGTTTTTTGAACCCATAGCTAAAACAATCGAAGATATTAAGCTAGTGGGATACAAATAAGTATTTATGCGAATATGAAATAAGAAAGATGAGATTGTAAGATATAAAGCAAAACTTTCAACACAAGAGTTTTTGCAAAGAACTGACATTGACTATAAGGAGACATATTCTCCTATAATGGATGTAATAGTATTTTATTATCTCATTAGCTCTGGAAAAATATATGAAAAACATTCATATGCATGTATTTAATGAATGTGATCATAATTTATTTGTTCATTTGAGATGAATCAGTATGAAAGTCCTAGAAGGACTTAACATGCCATGTGCATGTAATATATATTCTCGAGATAAGAATTCAATTAAATTATAGAGATCTTCGTTAGGATTATTTTAATATTTTTTTATTATTTTGGTTTTTAGAAATTCAATTTATACTTTTTATATTTTATTTTTATATCTACTCGTTTAT